CTGCTGGTCATTAGCGAATACAAGAGTACCGCCAGATGTGGCGGATGCTCTGCAAGCGTAGGTGCCCACAGGGTGGGAAGCGCGAACGCTTACGATAAGGCTTAAGCAGAAGATAATAGAAGAAAGGTATCTCATATAGAAAGGTTGTAACAAGTTACTGCCAAGGAGGTATAACTCGAAAAAGGTAGCGATTCGAAACCTAGACGCCCCCGCGGCCTCATCCGGAGACGTGAGTCACGTCATGTGACGCCTGGCGAGCCGCGCCCACCTTAGGCCAGTCTTGGGTGACCGTCACGCGCGCCCAAGACTGGACGCGTCACCCGATGACGCGAAGTTCGTAGGTGGAACCACCATAACTCAACGCCAATATCCTTGTGGAGTCTTTATTAGAGGTAGTGGGGACTCAACTTGACTCAAGAGCTGCATAGAAGCCGTCACTGTTCAGGGCCCTCGCGGTCAGTACTACGGTGACCGTAGTGTGGTCATGTGGTAAATCACAGTATTCAACTACTCTCGAACGAGAAGTAACCGAGTTATCATCGCTGCAGTCGCCTGAATCAAGCTCCCCACTCAACGATGCTTCTATGATGGGCGCTTTTCAGTTTCTTGTTACTGTATTCGAAGCGATGAAGCTCCTCTCCTTTGTTCCGCTCATAGCCGCATCGACCTCCACAAACGTTTATGACAGCAAGACTATCGTATCGGTCACCTTCGCCGATGCTTTCGTCGACGTTCGGGATGTCCCAAAGCGTCTCGAAGATGCCAAGGTCGCGCTCAAGCCTGGAATGGCCGCCTTCCTGAAGACGGCAACTATCAAGACTTTGAAGTCCTCGGGCTTGCAGGTGGTTGCTACTTCCGAGGACACAGTGAGCTTCGACGATCTTTGTGCCTACTTGAAGGAGGCGGCCTCCAAACTCTCCGGTCTGGACTGTGAATGCTCTCCTAATTTCGCCATCAAGGAAGAGGACACTAGTGACGATCTCGGCGTGAATGATCCGAATGCTTCCTTGCAAAGGGCATTCAAGCGGATGAACATGCAAGACGTATGGAGACTAT